AATGTACTTAAGTATTACAAGTAAAAGTATTGAGTAGAAATAAGCAGTTAGGTTTTCCAAAATGACATTTATTGGGAGGTGACCTCTCCAAAATATATATTTTTTTCTAAAGGCGTGCAGCTGTGATGGATTGTGTACAATTTGGTGCCAGAATGGTATATATTTATATAATTAAATTCACTCTTTCCAAGAAGTACAATTTATCAGGATAATATTTTTTAACAATAATGAACCAAAAAGAAATAGGAGTAAACAACTTTCTACTTCTTACCTTGTAAGAAGTAGAAGTAAAAAGTAGGCTGAAAAATAATTACTCAAGTACAAATAACCAAAATTTCTACTTAAGTACAGTAACAAAGCATTTGTACTCAGTTACTTTACAACTCCGCTAATTTGACTCCTCTTATTATTAAAATGTAGGTCAAAGCTACTAAAAGCTGCTGCACAGTGGCTGAAGAGCTGCAAGTTGTGGATATAAGACATCTGAAACTGTATTTTTCAAAGCAGGCGTTRTTGTATGCTCTGACATAGATTTACATAAAGATCAACATTCCTTCTAAGACCTTCTAATATTGTCAAAAACAATGACGTTCTCATGATGCTCAAAGCATGTACATCAACAGTACAAGGCTCGAGCTACGCGTCATGCCCAGTGGAAATGTTGGATTTGCTCAGCTGAGCTGCCGGATGTGATTATGGCTTTTCTCCTTAAACCAAACCAAGTGGGAGACTAAAGAACCAAAGCTTTCCCTTTGCCATGTGATTGATGTGGTTTTCTTGTTTAAAAAACAAGTTGAAATCCTGACCTGTTTCCCGCTCAGAGGCGGGTAAAGGCTGACAATGTTACTGGTCAGTTAAATCARTGCCTTTTCCCTGTCAGACAGCATGGAAAATAAAATCTGAAATAAAAGCATAAAGAGTCGAGAAGGAAGCTGGAAACTGACCAAAGGGAGAACAGCTGAAGTGAGGACAAAAGAGAAAAAGAGAGGATCACAGACACATGGGTATCAATGGTTTCTTCTTCTTCTCTTTTGAGTCGCGCTCACGCTTGGCCAGCCGGCGTTTCATATCGTCGGGGAGGCGTTCATAGCAGTGTTTACACACCGGCTTCAGATCCACCTCCACAAACTTATCTCTGATAGAGCAGGGAGAACAGAGAGGTGGGGAAAGATGAGAGGAGGAGGAGAGCGCAGTGGGAAAAATATAAGTGGTTAACAGCGGGGCAATAGAAAAACATAAGTGGGAGAAAAAAAAACACGGAAACACGAAAATAACAGAAAAGTGAGAAATCAGACAAAAATAAGCTTGAAAAACAGAATCGATGGCAGAAAAAGTCTGAAATGTAAGGTAGATGTGAAAAGAAAAACAAGCAGCATATGGAGGACTGAATCTGACATAATTAGAAATAAAAGCAGAAATATACAAATGGACCAATAAATAAATAAGTACACTTAAAACCACTGAAAAAACACTGACATCTGCCTTTATTATTAACAAAACCTTAAACTTTAAGCTAAACTGAGGCAGCACAAGCATGCACAGTCGATCTGCACKTGAATCCTGCTGCTTCCTGTCTGTTGACCAATAGGAGAGGACCGCCAACCTTATTTGCATAATGAGGCAGAAATGCAAAAGGTAAGGTAAAAACAGCAGACAGAGAAATGTAAAAGCAGCGCATAAATACAAAAAACGTTTGTGGGAAAAATGTAAACTATGTGGTAAAATATATAATTTATTGGAACTAAGCTGGAAAAATAAATATGATGGTCAGTTAAATTATAAAACATGAGGTAAATTTAAGTGTATTTGTTTATATATTTATACATTTCTGCTTTTATTTCTAATTATGTCAGATTTGGTCCTCCATACAAGCAAAGCAGACAAAATAACCTGGGATATAAGGTGGGGGATTTCAAGAACCCAGAAATCAAAATAAATGTAAAAGTTGTCACAATAAGCTGATTGGTTTTTTTTTTTACAATAGATGTTTAAAAAATGCAAAAAATGAACAAAATAGCAAAAAATGATTATTGCTGATTTTTTTTTTGTTGTTATCATGTTTTAACTGTTTGATTGGTGGTAGTGGGGATGAGAAGTTTAAGCAAAAACACTCTGAGTTTGTTGATAAATTAAAAAAATTTTTCTTGGAATATTAAACACTTTGCTCTACCCACACACCAAAGGTTTTTGGTTACAGAAGCATGTGATGTTGCTAATTCTGTTAGGTAATGATTATTGTAGTCTTTCATTTTAACCGGTCCAATGACTCATTGTAAAGGTCGTTCCTTTTAACTAGAATTTGACCTTGTTGCTACATTTCTCTGRACCAAACATAAAAATGTTTTAAATTTTTACAAACCAAGCATCAGTTTTGTATATCTCTGTGACTTCAGACCTCCCAACATGCTAGTACTTACTTGAGAGTCAGTTTGGTGTTACAGGTGGAGCAGGCAAAGCAGTTGACACACCAGGCCTTGTTTAGGGCAGACACCACTGGAAATTAAACAGAGGGGAAATGGTCACAATACCAGCCGCAGACTCAAATAAACTGTGAAGCTATTTTCRTTTTTACACAGAAATCTCAATGTAGATGGCTCCACTAATCATAAACTATTATGCTGTTTTTATTGTTAAAAAAAGGAAATTCCTCACCATCTCCTTCAATAACACGATTGCAGTGGTAGCAAACATCTCCGAACAGCTGAGGGTGAGCGCAGGAAGAGAAACAGAAGATTAGAAACAACACTTTTTTATCAAATCTAACTCAAAATGCTGTTTTCAAACTATTCGTGGACAAACACACTGGAATCAAAAGATGCTTTGTTAGGTTCTTTGGTGTCTTCTATTTTTAAAAAAAAATCCATGACTTTTATATAAATTAATCCGTGTGAACACTAACTGCATTAGGACAATTTGAGCATGATACCCTAACTCCCCGTACATAACATGAGTTTTACCTGGTTRTAATGGGTTTCGCAGTAGGCCAGGCCCTTGCGCTCATAGTGGCGATGTCCCAAGAAGGGCTTCTCACACTTRGCACACACAAAATGCTGCAAGCAAACCCAAAAGCCAAGCACACATGGTTATAACAGCCGTCAGTACAACAACACGCTCAGTGTTAAAGGCAGCTCGGACTTGATCGGGTCAAAGCAAAACCAGGAAGTCTTGCTGCTACGTCCATACAGAGAGAGGAGCGCGTTGACAGAGAAGATTTACAGAATATTTAATATTGCTGTGATGAAAATGGAATTTACCTTTCTAGCTTTGTGACTGTCTGTCTATGAAGGCATAATTTGATTTTGACAGACTGACCATAATACTGAGAAGAGTTATAGTCTGTACCGTAACTTCTGTATGGAGGCTAACGGATGGTAGTCAGGGAAGGAGACAAGCAGCGTTCAACTCATCTTTAACCTCCTCACCATGTCAAAGTGTCTTTCACAATAAGCGTGCCCACCTCGCTCGTAAAACGGGTGGCCCTGAAAGGGGCGCTCGCACACAGTGCACACGTGGTGCTACAAGCAGAGGAACACGAAAACTGACTTTGAATGTGGAAAAAAAAAAGGCCAAAGAGGAAGAAAAAAAAAACAGAGGAAAGAAAGCTAATGGAGGAAGGATGGAGGCCAGTACAAGTATGAGTCGTAAACGGTTTGGGTCTTCTTGAAGGGAGAAAATAAAAACAATGAAATGCATGAGAATAAAATGTGAAATCCATCATAACTGCATTCATCCTGTGTGTGCAGACAAAGTTGGGATGATTAAATATCAACAGATTATTGTCAAAACAATATTTAAGATGTATACGAATCTACAAAACAGCAGATTTCCWGCTTAAAATCGCACCTCAACATGCCACTGCTTGCCCATGGCGTTGACCACGCGGCCCTCAATGGGTCTCCGGCAGGCCCCGCAGATGGGGACGCCCATCTTGTCGTGGCAGGGGAGACAGTAGAGCTCCCCCTTCAGCTCCCGGGCGTCGGCTGACAGCTCCTTACTGCAGAGATCCAGGTGTAAGTTAGAGCAGGTAACGCTACAACCAGCTAAAGATGTTTAATCATAGCTAGAAGTAGCTGTTTCTTTTTAGATTACAGGTGTTGAACATGTGAAATAAAAATAAACGCATTTACGAAAAAAATTGGATGTTTACGAGAATAATTTCAATTACTACTTGCAGTTCTGTCTGACATTTGTGTTATATCTACAATTAATTAATTTCTCCACAAGAGGGCGCTCTTACTCTTTGCATTCATAATTTTAATACATTTGTAGCTTTCCACTGTAGTTTGGCCAGTAAAAAAGTGCATTTAAATGTAAAAATGTTGACTGTGAAACAATTGAAGTTAATGATTTTCATTAATTCTGAAGCTGGAGTGTGTTCAGGCTCATTAACAACTTATCAGATCGGTTGTTCAGCATTTAACTGTCTCGCTTTGTGTTTCGCCTTGTTGCCGATCAGGTACGTGCACGTGTTTACCCGCAGTTGTTGCAGTTGAAGTGATCGGGGTGATAGGGGTCATTCTTGAACAGTAGAGGTCGTTCTTCGATGATGGCGTGACACTTCTGGCAGATGTACTTCCCGAGCCCTCGAGCTTTCTCTCTGTTGTGACACGGACGACACAAGTGCCTGATGGGAGAAACAGAGCACACACACACACAAAAAAAAAAAAACACATCAGACTTTTTAATCTGATATAATTAAACATAATCAGAGCATAAAAATGGGCCAGCTGATTTTAGCAGCAATCAGCTGTAAAAAGCTGAATGTGACGCAACTAACCGTCCAGCGTTTTTAACAAATCCAACATCTGCGAGCACGGCCCTGCAGATGTCACAGCAGAAACAATCCGGATGCCAGCTGTTGTTCATCGCCTTGATCACGCGGCCAATGATGAACTCACCTGAGAGGAGAGCRGTGTGATCATGAGCACTGGAAGATGATCATGCTTCCATCCTTTTACAACTCTGAACAGGTAAAGAGAAATGGATGGACTCACCACACTGGTGGCAACAAGGAGCGAACAGCATCTGGAAGTCATGTTCGCAGTACTTCCTGCCTTCAAACTGTCAAAACAACACTGTATATAAGGGGTGCAACGATACAGAAAATTCACGATTCGGTTCGATTCAATTCAATAATTAAATCTCACGGTTCAATATTTTTTTGATACAAAAAATTGAAATGTCCATGCCCTTTTTAACTTGTAATTTATTGAAATTAATTATGATCATTTGTTTAACCTCAAAAGTACAGTTTTTAAATTAAATGTTGCTGAAAAAGCAAGTTTCTCAGTGGATCTGTGCTCGACAATGCAGCCTAGGTGGAGTAGTCGAACACAGATCCACTGACCTGTCAACACAGAGCATCTTCAGAAGATAAGTTGATTAAGTAAATTTTAAAAATCTGTATTGTTCGTTACAAGTGTGTATTGAACCTAAAGCACTGTTCGATACGGGTACATGTATTGTTGCACCTCTAATATATGTATAATATATGCACTATATATTTATATGGACTAGATATTCTGTAAATGTTGCAGATCAGTCACAAGTATTTGGTGTTTTCACCCATTCCTGTCAGCATTTCTAAATGCTCACTGATCACATTAAGATGACTTTATTTACAGCAACAGGCAGAGCAAAGAAGGAAAAACATCCTTGTCTTTAATGTTTATTGATCAGAACTATAAAGATACGCTCTCTGATGATTATTAAGAGCCTCGCTCCCTCTAGAGAGTCTGAGAAACATTTTGTCTTGCTTCAAGGCCAATGAAGGGAGGGTTTATTGGAAGAAGGCTGTTGACGATTCAATACTGCATTAAGTTTGTGCTTCCCCTCCTTTAACTTAGCCTGGAAAAAGAGGATGTTAATGGGAAATGTATTGATCATTCACCTCACAGGGATAGGTTTATAAGCCTAAGTGTTAACTAACAAAAATACTCACATTGCACATTGCTATAATGCTCCAGTGTTTATTAGAATATCTTGTACTTATTTTGTGCCATAAGTCACCACGTCATTTATTTTTTGTGATAATTTTTTAAATGAGAGCTAGTTACCTCGTAAAAGAGTCCTTCAGGGAACTGCTGGAAACACTGAGCACAAACAAAGCACTGCTCGTGRTAAAGTTCCCCGTTGCTGTTCACGATCTTCTCCGCCGGGGCGAAGCCGCTCTTACAGCGCTCGCACATGGCGTTGGCCAGGGCGTTAGCCATGTTGCTGCGGAGGGGAAAAAAAAAAGAAACAATAAGGATGAAAGTGTCCTGAATTCATACAAATGAAATAAAAAAGAACGATCCAAGTGTATTTGAAAGCTTTTCTTGAATTTTACAGTATATMCAGATGTTTTCTGCAAAAAAGAGATACAGTTTTAGATGCATTTAKGTCAATTTGAGCCTGAAACACCATAAAAATTCAAGGATTCCTTTAATATTTTCTAATACAACAACAAAGACAACTTGTCACCACTTTCCCCAGATCATAACAGCTGGAAGATTTATGAGACAGTAAAGAGGGAAAATGTGACGTTATATCGGTACAAAAACAAGTCTTGTGTTCAGGTTTACTTTGGCTCTGGTTGTCAGGGTGTGGGGATAAGAGAGGTGAAAAATCTACATGCTGATGTTTGTGCCAAGACCAAAGTTCCTTATAATCTCTCCACACGTTGTGAGAGAGGACGCAAACATGATTTAGTAAGGTTTTGAACAAAAACAGAGGAAGTCTAATATCTTTAAAGGAACACTAAAAAAACATGCGGTTGGAATAATCTGATATAATCTTTTCATTAGGTAGGTGGTTTATCACACTGCAAGWCATAATTGTAATAAAAACCAGACAAAAATCAAAAATGCTTAACAAAAGTTTTAATTTATGAATTTTATTACTAAAATTGAATCTAATAAAACCCAAACRAATGAATTTTAATGAAATTTTCATTTAAAGTTTGCACTAAAAACAGAATCAAGAGTCAAGTATTACAATAAAGACAAATGCTCTTTTAAAGGTAGGTGGAACAAAGCTGCAGGCAGACATGTTGATGTGAAAAACACAAAGAAAATGAGAAACAATCCTGTTTTTTCTTAGTTTCAAATGTCAGAACACAACACAAATAACCACATGAGATCATGTGGAATTTTATTTAAGTGAGGCCAAGTTTGGTGATSAAGAATTTCAAAAAACCAAAAAATTGGGGGGTTTTACTCAAACCAGTCATTATTTTAACAATGGCAATTTCAGGAAATATCTTTAATAGTTTGTGACAAATTTAAAAAATGTGGTTATGTGTTATTTAAAACACCACATTGAAGCAAGATGTTTTCCTCGCCGAACTATCAAATGCATATTGTATTATTTGCCCYGTCTGGACTGATATCAAACAGAACGAGAGCCCTGCCCTGCAGAGGATTTATGTCAGGAAGTGATACATCAGTCAGGCATTTCCACCATCCAACCTGACTTTATCACTCAGAGACAGACAAGCCAACGCAGTCACAAAACGACGACGGATTAGGCTTTTTCTCATTAAACTTAATTCCATTTCCAGTTTCCCCTGGCTTTGTTTGCATCGAGTCCCTTTCATAAGCTGTTTATAACATTTTAGATCATGCTTGGAAATTGGCTCCAGTTGACCTTTCACACAGCAGCACAGTGGTAAAAGCTGTTGCCTCTCAGCCTGAGGCCTTTCTGGCAGGAGTTTGTATATTCGCCCCATGATTTTCTCAAAGTACTCTGGTATTACCTAAGATTGTTGCATATTGTTATTTACAAAGCTTGACCAATGACTTATCTCTTTTATTTACCTTTGCAATCAGTATACCTTCTGCATTTTATATGATAGAATTAGCAGTGATATCATTTCCAAACCGTTCAGACTATTCCCCTCTGTTTACACAGATGACTGAATAAAAAGTGCGGTCAGTTGTGCGCATGAGGTGAATGTTTTCTCACCAGCTTCCAACCGCCTTTAAATAGGCAGTGACCAAAGCTTTCCACTCTTACATCATTCACGGTCCCCCAACCAGCGCGAAAATCTCACATCTATTAGTAACTAAACATTTACTTCATTGGCACAAAATGTCTACATTAAACTAAACACGCAAAATGCTTGGAATACAGACAAAAAAGTAAACATACTTCTTATTTTGTGTATACAGGGATGTGCAATGTCAAGAACCCTGCCATAGTTAGAAAAAAAGATGACCAAAATATTGCTCTACTAAATGATACAGACTATCAGTTGTGTTATGAATACCTTCTGCTTCTTCTAGCCTCCCTTCCCTGGTCTCCACTTAGGTCAGTTTATCTCTTTTAAATCACTGTGTTGGTTTTCTTAGTGTTTCTAAACTCAGTTAGGAACTTTTTCAGGCCTTTATTACATAATTAGCCCACCTGAGGTTAAATCACCTAACCYAGGAGTGAAATTTTCCTGAAAATGTCCCATCTTAAACCCGTCAATCCACGGCTATCCTGCACCTTAGGATGAACGTAGATCAGTCAGAATGACATGATGTATATTTAGCCTTCCTGTCTTTCAAAGACACATACTTCAAATGCCAGTTGAGATATTCTACTTTGCATAACAACTCTCCTCCCCAATGGTAGAAAATAGCCCTCCCTGTGTATCCCTCCACAAACATGGCAGCTTGAGCTAATCAAACTGGCCTGAAAAGCTTGGATCATGTAAAAATTCTTCACATTCTGTAAGGCTGGAGTCAGCTGCGGGCTAACGCACCAATACCAAGGTTGTGGACGAGGCCAAACTCCACAAACTTGTACAAGTACTTTTTTCTTGATCTAGAATCAGTTTGACACGAACTGTATATAAACTTGGATTAGTCTCAATCTGAAACTGTAATATGATGATATGGAAAACTTCAGGACAGTAAACACAAACAAGGCAAGAGATTAAAATATAAAAGCAAACTATTTTTAGTACACAACTAACCACAGATATTTTGCTTTTGGCCACGACTTACAAGCGAGCGTAAAAGTCACAAAACTCCTTGTAGACTTTGACATCACTCTTCCGTCTCTGGGACTTGGACACAGGAAGCTCAGCCTCTCCACCTTCTCCCATCTGAAGCCTCTGGTGGTAGCCGTTCATCTCCCCACGAGGAACGTGGTCCTGAGTTTCGGCATCCTCAGGTATGGAGGACGGCAGGGCACGACCGCTCATCTCCGTGCTCGTCTCAAACAGGCGGAGTTGACGGTGAAAGTTCGGATGGAGCGTACGAATTTGAACTCCTCACGCTCTGATTAAAATCCTCTGTGATGCTTCAGTGTCCAGGAAAATGACCACGGTGAGCAGGGAGAGTGAAACTCCCGACTGTGCGGGGAGTTTGCTCCCTCCCTCTTTCACACACATTGACACAAAACACTCCCTCTTTCTCTCATTCCCCCATCAGCCCTGTCTCCTTTTCCACACAGGCTCCCAGCCTCCCCTCCCGTCACCCTCTCTGTCTATTCTCGGGCAGGTTCCTGAAATTAAAGCGCCCACCCTGACGCCTGTTCAGACAGAGGTCACCGTGTCATTATGATCCAAACACACCCACACACACAAACACACATAGACCCTACCTGTTATTTATATTCACCACCTTTACACCAATGATAACTGCAGTATTTATCTAGCGTCTTTGCACGCTTTTGATTGTTTAACATCTGGATTTCTCCAGGAGAAATCACAACATGATTACTGCTCTGCAATRCACAAAGAGGAGGAATGCCACAAACAAACAGACTCACAAACCAACATTAAAGAACTAACTGAACTAAAAGCTTTGGTTTCCTTCATCGTGTGTTTGACATTACTGAATAAACACACTACAGGAAGAGTTTTAGGAAACCAAGCAGCTGTAACTTTGGACAAACATACAAGTCTGGATACTGCCATCCTTACTTCCCATCATTCCTTTGCTCCATGAGAGCATTGCTACTACAAATCTAGGCATTTAAATAAGAGTTTACTTGTTGGCTTATTAACATCCTTTCCCTTCATGTTCAGCTACTAATATGACCTTTATCCGCTGTTAGTAACAGCGTACTGCATTTTTTTTCTGKCTCTAAAGAGCAGAAAAAAATTCACATTTTCTAAACATGATATAACTTTCAACAGAACATTTTGAACACCTGTTTAAAACCTAAATCTGAAGCTTTTTGGATCAAATATAAAATATGCTAATCCTTCAAAATCCTACAACACAGGAGCATTGCTTTAAGCCTCAAATCGGTCTCACCTCTGGGTAAAAGACACGTCTTTATGTGGCTGGGCTCAACTGGGTTCTCAAACTAATGACCACTTTGCAAAACATCAAAACACCAGGCAAGACCTGGATTTAATCTCCAGTGAGACAAACAAGTTTCACGCTCAGCTGCTGCATTAATCCTGAATAAATAAGACATTAACATGAATGCTTGTGTCTACAAAGTGATGTCTCTGACCAGTGTGTATGTGTGTGTGTGTGCGTGTGTGTCCAGCTGAAACATGTCTCAGTGTAACAGTCTTCATGACTCCACTCTACAAATAGACACTCGGCGGAGCCTCAAGTCCAAACTAGGTGCTGGCAGCTGCTGTTTTGTGTTTATGTGTGTGACAGAGTTTACACACATAAAAGGGGCCAAACTGCCTGTAAAAACCTAGTTACATTTTCACATTTTTAAACAAAATTGTCAAAACTATTAGTTTTTAATTGGATACTCAGAAAGACACAAGCTAAATATATCRTTATTGCCAATTTCCAAAACCAACCTAATTTACGCCAAATAACCAAAGACACAAAATGGCTATAACTCAGTCTATTTTACAGATATTAAAATAAAGTTTGATGTGTTAGAAGCTGAGTCACCAACTCCATCATTTCTCRACATAAAATGATCTTAGTCTAACTCTRGCATGAAAGGTAGTGTGCATAGAAAGTCAAGTCTTTAACTTAAACACTTGAGCTTTTAAATAACTGAACACTAAAGGTCCATTGCCTGTGAAGCCAGTGGAAAACCAGCGTTGACTGATGAGGGTACAATGGACAGAGGGCGGGTGTTCAACAGGAAACTCTCCTCCTGATTACTGTACATTTGTTGAGTCGAGTTCCACCCAAAACTACAAAACCGGTGTCCAGTCTGATACAGCAAAGATGTATTGTTCAAGAGAATGTTCTCACATCCATATTAAAGAGAAGGGTGGAAAATAACTTTAAATGGTAGAGTTGTGAAAATGTTGACTCAGCCGTTCCTAAAACCAGAAGCTCGGTTGCATCTTTCTCTGGTACTCACAAACAATAACTCCACCTCCATTTAGACTTGGGTATTATTCAGAACAACTGCTTAGCAAAATGAGAGGGGAAAAATATGCCCAGTAGTATGGTTTGTTTGATGTGTTTCCATCTGTTCTGAATATTGTAGACACTACCACAATGGAAAAAAAAACACATTTGTCTTTAAGCCTGGGTCTTCTGAGTTATTCAAACCACTGGAAGGATTTCAGAGTGTTGTGACATCTTACATGGGGTTGCTTAAAGCTCACTCTTTGTTGCCACACATAATGAGTAGTGTGTCGCTTTAGGTTTTAGTCTTGGACATCCGTAAAGCACATAATCCACTAATACACTGTGGAGATTCTTACTTTTTCTTCTGTGTGAGAGAAATAGAGACATATGGAGGACATGTGCTAAGATATTTGTCAATTTGAGCTTAAAAAAGGCCACAGCAACTGTCAGCGGTCAACGAAACATCAAAGCGGTTGTTCCCTCGGACTGTGAGACGTCCTTATGGAGACTTTAAAAGTCCGCGGATGGGTCAAAAGTCAGGTCAGCCAGGCCGCATGCTGGAATTGAAGTAAGAAATACCTTATCTTGTTCTTGCAAAATAATAATAATAAAAAAGCATTCTCAAGAACATTTTAACTAATAACCAATAGAGATATTTCATGTTTTGTCTGTAAGAAAGATTTCCACTAAACCTTTAAACTGCACACATAAATCCCACAAAAACGTATTAAAGTACAAATACATTTAGAAGACATACCAACAAGATCCTGAGTAAAATGAAATAAAATATTCAAATGAGTCTTCCTCACATTACTTAATTTCCCTCTGGGATCAATAAAGTATTTTTGAATTGAATTGAATTGAATTGAATTGTGCTCTATGGTTAAACATCTAAAGCAGAGGTATCAAATCCAGGACCTCGAAGACCACTATCCTGCATGTTTTACTTGTTTCCCTGCTCCAACGAACCAATTATGATCAATCAATCAATCAATCAATCAATCAATCAACAACAGCTACAACATTTCATGTGGTGCACCTTGCAGTGTGACGCTGTTGCTCGTCAAGACACCATGGATCCGCACGCCCAGGATTGTAAAGATGAAATAGGTCATCAGCACATATAATTAAGGCTCAGCTAATCAATTCCATATTTCCAATATAGGGGGCRCAAATTTAATCTCCAAAGGCTGGGGTTGAACAGTAATTATATTTAAAAACATTTCTCTTTGAAGCATATCCTCACAATGATTCTCAGTTTTCTCCGCTGAAGGCACACAAATCAAACACACCCAGGTCACACACTTGTACTCGCTGTGTCAACACCAACCATGGCAACGCAGACCTGACGGCTGTTTGAGTAAAACTTCCTGCTGTCCTTTCCCAAGGTATATGTGCAGAAAACACAATCGCCCTTATGAACACTCGAAAGAAACTGAGTCAAACTCTGATTCAGTGAGTACGCAAACATAATTCATGACTAATATTTCTATTGTCTTGTGCAAGAGGTTCGGAGGAACATTTTGATCTGCATCATTAACCATCCAGTCCTACTTCAGCCCAGAGGATTATCATAATAACAGAGGATAATCTCTCATTTTTGTTCTTTCTCACATCTATGAGGGGACTTATATCGTGTGATTTTTTCTTAATGTTGCATCTACTTTGAAATCAAAATAATCCATAAATCTTTTCTCAAACTGTGGTTAGACCAGTTGAGGTTCATCAGGCCTCATATCCAGTTGGGTTTGTTGAAGGGTTAATCTTAGGATATAAAACCTAATGTGTTCTTTAGGCGAGAGTTGTCATAATGGTGATATTTGTTACGACTTAAATCATTTTATGGTTGGTCTTCCCTACAAACTGCACATAATGTAGGAATAATTTAAGCCAGAGGAGCCYAAAGTGGGGCCAAATTTGGCCTGCCAAGCCATTTGATTTGGACCACCAKCAGTTGACATAGTTACTAGSCTGTAACCCAGGGCTATTCAACTGGTGGCCCAAAGTTCGGCCYGCCAATTGGTTCATTCATCTCTTAAACYCAAACCCCCGGTTTTCTACTTTAATTACTCTAAGTTCATTTAGTTAAACATAGACATGTTTGGTATCTACAGAAACGTCAGAATCTTGGCTAGAAGCTGGWAGAAACCATTTCTATGAACWCTCAAGACAGTTAAAACTACAAGTAGTTGAAAATAAAATGATGAAAGTGAAAATAAAATTGGTTTAAAAATTTGGCAAGTCAGAGATGTCAAAATATTATTTGTGTCAAATTGGAGGCATAATGTGTTCTTTTTGTTTTTGATAATGTTTAATTATCACTACTTTTATAGGGCTCTGTATGTTGTATTCATTATTATATGCAGCAAAATAAACTAATTCAAAGGTAACAGAGCTTTGTAATACGTGGTTTATTGACATAATAACTTTAATTGCTGGATGTTCAGCTCCTCAGCTGTTGACCTGCAGTAATTGTGGCCCCCGGAGCAATTTAGTTGAATAGCCCTGCTGTAACCTGTTGTTCTATGTAGAAACACAGTTTGTACTTAGTCATTTCCTCCATTGGCCCARTGACTATATTCGGGACTGTAGTGCAGATAGTTTTCACTCAAGTGCTGGCTTTCTCTTTGATATATTAAGATTTAAAAATGAAGCATGAAATACAAGTAACAAGAGATATTTAAAGYAGATTTAACCACACATAATTTTTACACTTTATAAGGCCACAAAAACTCCTTTTTTTAATCAATTTATGAAATGTAGTGAATGAATGAATTTATTTATTTGAGAAAAGGGCAGAAATCATAAGATTTTTCTTCTTCTGCAACCTTTCATTTAATTTCTGATTTGTATTTTTAAATTTATGTTGTTTTGTTTTAAAATGATAAACTTTATAAAAAAATGTCCCATGAGCTTTTGCTACTTGAGCCTATAGCAGACTC